AAGTAGAACTGAAAATTATTAATAGATTTAAAGTTCACTTGTANTAAATATATATGAAGAATTAATATGAAATATATATATATATATATATATATATATATATATATATATGAACAGTTCATGGTACACAATAAATGTGAGCTACATTCATTGTTACAAATATGCCGAATTTTATAAGAATGTGTTATAAACTTTCTAAATATAAATCCTAAATATAAACTTGTTGTAACTGCTTCTTTGACATCTTAAGCTATTATTTTTATTCAGAAAAATAGTTTGAGGATTATACATTTCCATTAAAACCTCCCAAATTTAACTGTGAGGGCCTAACAATTTTAAATCATTCTAATTTATTTAATTTTGGAATTTTAAAAACAAAGGTTTGTCATTTCATTTTATCTATATATATATTTTTTGGTGTAGCAAATTAAAGCATGGATCCCAGGGGGCCATTATTATTATAGTGAAAGGATCTGCTATGCAGCTATAATGCTGTATTGCTGTAATTAGTTTTCTTTAAAAAGGCTATGTTTGGGATGTGAAATATTTGCTATGACATAATTTTTTAAAAATCTCTGTTGGATCAGGCTCGCTTCTAAAAAATCTGCTGAAAATTATGGATCCTCTCCCCACCTCAGAAAAACGTGTATGTACACACCCAGTTTTGAATGTAATTTTCAGGAGTCTCATGAATCCTGTGAAGCCCACCTATGGACCCTTTCCTGAATCCTCCAGTTCCAGGGAGATTTTAATGGGTTCCAGAATAAGAACCCCACTTTTTGTGCCTCAAAAGAATGGAGAGTGCAGTTTGGACACAGTTCTCTGGCCTGGTTAAGTGTGTTGTACAATGGTTCCCAGGCAACAGTCTTTCTTGAGTGAGGGAGATGGCTGAGATCTACAGGATAAAGTCACCTGCAGCTCAGATCTCCTAAGCACTGACCCCTTCCTAACCACTCCTCCCTATCATCAAATATTCTTTTCTCCCACACTTATTCATTCAACTAATATTTATTGAGTAACTAACATGAGCCAAGTAATGTGCTAGGTGTTGGGATACACTGACATGTAAGACATGGTCCCTGCTATTGAGTAGGAAAATGGGTGGGTAAATAGAAAAATTATAATATGATGTAATCAATGATATAATAAAGATAGTAAGTGTTATGGGAATACAGAGGAGATAGAGGCATAAAAGCTTTTATCAGTCAATAATAGCAATATTTAAAACATTCATTTTGTTAAATCTTTAATAATGGATCAAATTGTAAGTCAAGTTGATTATAGGCAAATGAAAACTAAATTATTTTTCAAATGCAAATAGCTTATTTTTTAGTTTATTTTTAATTTTTTTAAATTACAGTTGACATTCAATATTATTTTATATTAATTTCAGGTGTACTGCTTAGTAATTAGACATTTATATACTTTATGCAGTGATCCCCCCAATTAGTCTAGTATCCACTTGGCACTATACATGGTTATTACAATATTATAGACTATATTCCCTATGCTTTACAACCCCATGGCTATTTTGTAACTACCAATTTGTACTTCTTAATCCCTTCACCTTTTTCACTCAGTTCCCCGAAACTCTCCCATCTGATAACCATTAGTTTAGTTTGTTTTCTGTATCTATGAGTCTGCTTCTGTTTTTCTTGTTTATTTTGTTCTTTAGATTCCACAGATAAGTGAGCTCATATGATATTTGTCTTTCTCTGTCTGATTTATTTCACTTAGTAAAATACCCCCTAGCTTCATCCATGTTGTTGCAAAGGGTAAAATTTCATTCTTTTTTATGTCCGAGTAATATTCCATTGTGTATATGTACTACATCTTCTTTATCCAATCGTCTATTGATGGACACTTAGGTTGCTTCTATATCTTGGCTATTGTAAATAATGCTGCAATGAACATAAGGGTGCATATATCTTTTCGAATTAGTGTTTTGGATTTCTTCAGATAAATACCCAGAAGTGGAATTGCTGGGTCATGCGGTAGTTCTAGTTTTAATTTTGTGAGGAATCTCTGTACTGCTTTCCACAGTGGCTGCACCAATTTGCAATCCCACCAACAACGCATGAGGATTCCCTTTTCTCCACGTCCTCACAGCACCTGTTGTTCTTTGATTTATGGATGATGGCCACTCTGACAGGTGTGAAGTGATATCTCATTGTGGTTTTAATTTGCATTTCTCCAATGATTAGTGACATTTGAGCATCTTTTCATGCGGCTATTGGCCAGATGCAATTAATTTTAAAGAATGAGTATGTGCAAAGTAGCTATTAAATTACAAAATTAAAGTAAGTTATTAAAAATGTAAATCACAGAGAGTTGGGCTTTTCCAGTGTCAAATGCAATATAATGTTCAGGGCAGTTAACAATAAATCAAATCATTCAAGTTCAGAGCATGCTGAAAAGAGAACTTTTTTTCCTCAATCTATCATCTGAACAAAGCATTTTCCTGGAAAGATTTAGAACACAGCTTTCATCAAGGTTGTAGCAGTTCATATTTTACTCCTGAAAACATTGATGATGAATAAAACATAAGAAAATTTGAATGACAAACTTGTCTTTCAGACGTTTTACTAGCAACAACACCAATCCTGGACCTCATCTTTCAAATGCCATCTCCTTGGTGAAGTCATCTTAATGCTGCAAAGACAGAAGAACCACTTGCTTCCTGCAGGGTTTGGTTAACACCTTGTCTTTCATCAAGGTATCATAATTCTTTATTGGCCTTTGCTCCCCTCAAGAATGTGAGGTAAGGACATCACTCCCTCCTGCTACAGACCAGGCAGGAAAGCTGCTTAAAGAGCTCACTCATCTGACAGCACAGTCCTGCTAAGAACAAGAAGGCTCTTAGCAAACCTGACAATGAAGCAATGAGATGTATTTGTCCATCAATTTCTCTACCTAGAGACCCGGTGTTCTCAATCTTAATTTTTTTGAGGGGACTGAATATGTCAAGGATTTGGGATGAAGTTCAGGTGGCCTTAAGAGAGGTTAATTAATTATACGCTACATTTTAGTTCCTGCTAATTAGAAAGGGCTGCCAAGAAGAATTAAAGTGCAATTTGTAACTCATTTTGATTGTCCTTCCTCATGACCCTACCTGAGCTAAAACGTGGAGGTAAAGAGAGGAGAAAGAGAGGAGGTCAGAAGACAACTTGCAACTGACCTTGGGTCCCAGCAGAGGCACAGACGAGACTCCAGGGAGCAGCTCCAGGCTCAGGCCCCAGGACAGGCTCCGAAGGGAGGGGCACCAGAGGTAGAATAGGTTGACGTGAGGGCCCAGCCTGGGGCGCGGAAAGGCAGGGAGCTGAGGAGGAGGTAAAGAGTGCTGGGGGCGCGCTGCACAGGGCAGGCCTGGAGAGCAGCCTGCTCCTGGGCTAGAGCGACACCCACAGCCTGAGGCTGAGGGCAAGTTTCCAAATTGCTCTAGACTTGGGGGTGACAATTCAGCGTGGGGTCGGGTGGAGTGAGAGGCTGAAGGGCCCCGGGGGGAGAGGCAGGTGGGGGCCCTCACGGGACAAGCTCCAGGCAGAGAACAGCGTTTAAGACAGAGCCTCCGAGATAGTGATGCTGTACGCATCCCACCTGATTCCTGCCACAGTTCTGTGAGGTGGGCACGCCAGGAACGGTTACCGCCACTTTACAGCTGGGGGAAATGAAGGCTCAGAGAGACGCGAAGGTCACAAGAGCAGAAAGGTGGCGGCTGGATTGGGCCGGCGGGCGCCGAGGGGCTGCGGTGGCGACAGCAGGAGCACGCAGCAAGCTTCCTAAAGAAACGCCAGGTTTTGCCTCTGCCAGACTTCTCTGCCCTCCCTGTGCCACCACCCGAGTTGGCATAACCCCAAACGCAGTTCAAGAGCCTTGACAGCATAGTCCCCCTATTTTTGGGCGCTGGCGCTTGTCAAGGCCGCGATTCCCCAGTGACCAGGTCAGCCCTGAGCCAGGAAGCCCCGGGTGCGCTCACGGTGTGGTGGTGACCGGACACTCACTGGGGAAACGTAAAGCTTCCGGGGCGCCTGACCCCGAGGGGGGCATTGGGTGGCCTCCCCTCTTCTCTTGTTCTTCCCACTCGCCCAACCCCCTGACTGTGGGTGCCCCTGGCTGCTTCGGTCTCTCTCTCACTCCCCATTTCCCAGGCAGCTGATTCCAGAGAACCCGCACAATAGGATGGCTGGACTTCCAGGGAGGGCGAGCTGAGACGGGCTCGGACATTGAGTCACTCAACAAACCTTGTATGAGTTCGAGCCCTGATCGAGGTGCGGGGCGGAGCAGAAAAGGCCACTGGTACCACTCGTGAGGAGACAGACGCACGAATAAAGGTGTCAGGATGATGTGCTGGGAGGGTCTGAACTGTTGGTGTCAGAAGTCGGTACTTTGCGGTTAACGCCTTCATTAATAAAAGTCCGCAGGACAGAGCTGCCACTCACCCCTGGACATTGGCCTCGGCCCTTCTCGAGAATGTCCCCTAGGGTGGGAATCGCGCCCGAGTCACAGGCGGCCGGACCCACCCCCCGCGTCCCCAGGCGTGCTCTCCAGTGGAACGTCCCTAGAAGGGGAGCTGAAGGCTGGAGGTCCCCGGAGGCTGTGGCACGCTCCGGACTCCCCTATCGCACGTTTGCCCGCGTCACCCCTGCCGCCCTGACTCGGCGCAGAGCCCTGTGTTGGCGTGGATCCAGCCGAGGTCCTGCCCGACGCCCGCGCAGCTGGCCTCCTTCCGCCGTGCGCCTCCCCCGGCGCCTCCCCCCGCCTGCTTCGCCCCTCCTCTCTCCCGGCCCCGCGTCCTCCGCGGCAGGTTCAATCCCCGCGGGGACCCGGAGCGCGGGCACTCGGAGCGCGGCTGCCCGTCTGCGCCCACCTTCCCCGCGCCGTTGCAGCGGAGACCCGGCCGGGGACCCCCGCGCGCTGCCGGCACCTCACCCGCGCCACCGCGGCGGGCTGACTGGGCATGCTCAGGGGCAGGGCGGCCGGGCGCCGCGGGAGCCAAGCGCATGCAATCGCCGGGCCGGGCGCCGGCCGTCCAGGGGCGCGGCGCGCAGGCGGCCGCGCTCTCCGACGCCCTGGCCAGCCTAGGCCGGACGCCGGCCAGGATGGCCTCCCTCGCGGCATACGGTAACAGCGGGCTCCCGGGGCGGCCGGGGCGGCCGGGGCGGCNTAATAGGAATGTTATTAGCTGAAGGTAATAAAATATGACTTCAATAGCTTAAACAAAGGGGAGTTTATTTTTCTCATATGAAGCGAAGTCATCAGCTCAACGATGTCTATGCCTGTATCCCTGAGATTCTTTTCACCTTTCCTTCATTGTCCCAAAATTGTTACAGGAATTCCAGTTATCATGCTGACAGTCAAGGCAAGAAGAAGGAGGAAGGAGTGGAGAAATAAGCAGTTCAGCAGATCCCCAGCAGACCATCAATATGAGCGAACCCTGTGTTTATATCTCATCGGCTAGGACTGTGCCTGGGACCCCACCTAGCTGCAAAGGAAGCTGGGAAGTTAAGCATTGAGCTGGGAACCTTGCTATCCAGGACACAATCAGGATTCTATTAGTAAGGGAAAGTGGAGAGAGTATATTAGGAAGGCAACCAACACAATCTACTTTCAGAGACAAGCCTAGGTGTGTCACTGCTGTTTATGTCTTGGATCCGCTTTTTTCTTTGTCGGAAGAATGAGTTCAGTAATATTGTAGTGAACATACTGGAGATCAAAACATATCACAACAAACTTCAGAGATATCCACAATGTTCTCTCTATTTAAGCTTCCACTATACAAAGAAATATTTGTGGTAAAACTTAGAAATCAGTTTTAGCCATGAAGACATTTTTGCTGTAAAAACGTGGTGGTAATATGATTTACCCACAATTACAGAATTACGGAATGTAATAGAGATTCTTATGAAATTGCCTTGATTTCTCTGAAACAACGTAATATGTTTAGGGAAAAGTACATCCTGGAATCTGGTTGAGAGGTCAGTTGTAATTCACTGAAATTAGTTGTCTCCAAATTCACAATTTGATTTTAAGTTTCAAAAGAGATTCAAATTACATCAGGAGCTTAAACAGAATATAAATAGATCTTAGAGTCCTGAGGTGTGCAATATAAAATAGGCCATGCCTCAGGAGTTTCTTATGAAGATGTCTGCGTTGTGAACTTTTGGACCCTGATTCTGCAAAAATTATCCATCCTTAGAACTAGGTAAAATTGTGAAAGCCGGGCAAGTATCTGTCTAAACTTTTTCTCATCTGTGTGGTATTCAACTATGTGTGTCAGAAATTACAATGGAAATATGTAGTTTTCATTTCAGTTTTATTTTAAATCTTGCTTAAAAAATAATTATATGTTTATCTTGGGTAAAATAAATATAATTATCTGGCTTGAAGCATATATTGACACTACTTATATCATTCTCCTCTTCCCTAATATCTTTACTCTAATATGTTTAAATTGTTTAGCCCTCATATTGTCCTTTTAAAAATTGGTGATATTTTCAAATTATGTTCTTCACAGAAAACTTGACAACTACAGAAAAGTGAAAAAGAAAGCCTCATATCATTTAAGACACATTTGTATGTGTTTATTTGTTTCAACCCCAATGACCGCTTGGTGCAGTGTCCAAGATGGATTTATGCACAGATATACAGTGATGGTGTGTGTACCTGGAATAAACTAGCACCTCCCTAAGCCTGAGTAAATAAAACTATGTTCCAGCCTCAANATAAAAAATTTTACTGGGGAACAGTGTGTTTTTCCAGGACTCATCAGCTCCAAGTCATGTCATTGTTTCAATCTAGTTGTGGAGGGCGCAGCTCAGTGCCAAGTCCAGTCATCATTTTCAATTGAACTGGCAATCTTGTTCAGAGCATGCACTCTAACCAACTGAGCCACCTGACCGCCCAAAATTGACCCTTGTAATGTGTGTAATTCAGTGGTTTTTGTATGGTTAGAATAGTGCAAACATCACCCCCAATTCCAGCATATTTTCATCACCCCCAAAAGAAACCCCATACCCATTAATTGCCACTCCCCATTTTTTCCTCCCTCTATCTACATTTTTTAACTTTATTTTTTAGAGCAATTTTAGGTTTACAACACAATTGAGAGGGAGATACAGAGATTTCCCATAGACAGCCTGCACCCACACGTGCAGTTCCCCCATTAGCAATATCACTCACCAGAGCTGGACATTTTTTAGCAAGGATGAACTTACATGGATATATCCTAATCACCCAAAGCTCATAATTTACTTTAGGTTCACTCCTGGTGCTGTACTTTCTATGGGTTTGCACAAGTGTATAATGACATACATCCCTCATTATAGTATCATACAGAGTATTTTGCTGCCCTAAAAACCCTCTGTGCTGGGCCTGTTTATCTCTCCTTGCCCAACCCTCCCATACTGTCTGTTTTCTGTCTCTATAGAGTTGCCTTTTCTGGGCATTTCCTATGAATGGAATCAAACATATGACCTTTTGTCTGGCTCCTTTTCACTCAGCATAATTCTTTTTAATAAATGAATTTTATTGTTTAGAGCAGTTTTGGTTTACAGAAAAATTGAGCAGGAAGTAGAGAGTTCCTATACCTCCTTTCCCGACCCCTTACACAGAGTTCCCATTGCCTTTTCCCCCCACCGTTTTAACCATTTTTTAATGTACAGTTCCATAGAGTCAATTATATTCACGTTGTTGTGCCAGTGTACTGTTGTTTTTTTTTTTAAAGTTAAGGTGGAGAGTGGTCTTCAAACCAAGGAGAGAGTTCATGACCTCTCATAATCTGTCATCACATGGTTCCCCAGAGGCAGCAGCTGGCTGGGGTGCAGTCCCCTTTACCTTTTAGGAAGCTCCATTAAAGGCCTGAAATGGGCTCTTGGGAGCAGCAGTGACTCTCCAAGAACATGCACGTTCCTCCNCTGTATTAAACTTGTAATACTCAATATATACTGATAACAAAAGATGAATACAAGTCATGTTTGACTTCTGCAATTACAAGAGGTGCTCAAGGTGGTTACCATCAGCATACAGACACTTCTGATTACTGCAAACTACTGCTTGAGCAACATTGATCAAAGTGTGCACTTGTATACATATTTTTGGCACCACCGGTATTTACTCACTCAACACCCTCCACTATCCTGTGCTGTAGCTCTTTTTACCCCCATTTGGCAGATGTAAAACTGAGGCCCAGGTTAACTTATCTGCCCAATGTCACACAACTAATACGTGGTGGAGTTTGAAATTTGAATTCAGGCTTACCCCAGAGCCAGTGCTCTTTTCTAAGTCCCCTCATGGCTCTGACCTTCCATGAGTCTCAAAGCAATACGCATAAGCTCCTGCCATGGAGAGCACTGTGCAAAGCACTGTGGGTGAAATAAAGAAAAATAAGACCTCAATTCTGTCTTTGCGTAGTTCATCATCTAGTGAATTCAGTCAGACTCCTCTCCTGGTCTGGCCAGGACAAATCCCACACAACCCCTTTCCATGTCAGGGACTATTTGATGAGCAAATTCCAGAGGAAATATTTAGTATACAGGACTCTAATTTGACAGTGTTCATTGGAGATCAGAAGAGTAATATTTTCGTAAGTTGCTTTCGAGGACATGGGAATTTGTTTTTTAGTATAGAAATTTTTGCTTTTCACATTGAGATGGAAATTTGTGGTAATGTTTTCCATAAATATGAATTCAGAATAAGGTAGGTCAGCTTGAATTCCACACAAATGAATATGAATATAAAACATTTTTACTTGTACAGCCATTGCAACACTCAGAATTTTAGGATGAGATACATGTGTCTGTTTTCACAAAAGAATCATGTCATTTGTATAACAACATAAATTGTATTTACAGTAAATATGATTGGATCCGCTACTAATTTTTTTTCTGTATTAATGCATGGGATTTGATAACAAGGCAATGCCTCCAAACGCAAATTCTATTTTATCCTACATTCAGTTAAGTTGCCATGACAATTGTTCGTGTGATATGTTATAAAAGGCATTTATACGAGGACAGAATGCGTGAAGTGGTCTCCAAACACATATTACAGGTAAAAGCTTTTCTGTTACAAATTGAAGAGAGATTTTCATGACACTTGAGAAATAGAGGCCAGGAAGCCGGAACTAGAATAATCTGCTCTCTTCATCAAGATAAGAACTCACTGTTCATGGTTACTTTTGCAGTTTGTTCCAACTGGCTGGTCCTGATGTACTTAGGAAAACCCTCACTTCTTCTCTTTTCTACCATCACAACCTTACTGCCTCTCAGTATTTTTCCTCAAGGAAAAAGTATAAATAAAATAGTTATTTTAAAAAGAAGATTTAGAAGGCAAAACAATCAGATGGTCTATGTTTATTAAACACCATTCGGAAGCATACCATGAGCTCTGGAATCTGGTTTTAAATCTTGGATCCATCCCTTGCTAACAATTAATTAGCCACTTGGTGACAATTTCCCTGTCAAATGGTGATAACAATAGTATCTATTTCATTAATCTTAATATACCNATACAAGGTTAATGTAAAAAAAATCAATTGCTTTCCTATATACCAATAATGAACAAGTAGAATTTGAAATTAGAAACACAATACCATTTATATTAGCATCCTCTAAAATGAAATACTAGGTATGAATATAAAAAATATGTACAAGATCTATAGGAGGAAAACTACAAGACTCTGATGAACAAAATCAAAGAAGAACTAAATAAATGAATATTCTACATTCATAAAGAAGACTCAGTATTGTCTATATGTCAGTTTATCCCAATTTGATCTGCAGATTGAATGCAATCCCAGTCAAAACCCCAGCAAGTTATTTTTGTGGATGTCAGCAAACTGGTTATAAAGTTAATGAAGAGGCAAAAAGATGCAGAATAGCCAACACATTACTGAAGGAGAAGAACAAAGTTGGAGGACTGATGCTACCTGACTTCAAAACTTACTATAAAGCTACAGTAATAAAGACAGAGTGATATTAGTCAAATAATAAAGAGATCAATGGAACAGAATAGAGAAGCCGGAAATAGACCCACATAGATATAAGCAGCTGATCTTTGACAAAAGAGCAAAAGCAATACAATGGAGCAAAGATGATTTCTTCAACAAATGGTGCTGGAATGAC